CATATCCAAACTCTTTGGCCGTACGGACGACGAGACTCTTCTCGAAAAGGTATGCGTTTGTCGTGTGATTTAAATGTGAAATTAATTGTCATTTTTGATATAAAAGGCAAACGAAACGGAATCGACGACAACCGCTAACGAGACCGCCAGCGCCAAGAATGAGACCACAGAACCGAAGCCCGACACCAATGAAGCGAACAAAACGACCGCTGAATCGACGAATACGACCGCAAACGGCAACCAAACGGAACCCAAGAAGGAGTTAAAGATTAAGACAATCAAAGAGCCCATTGATACCACTGTTGTTGTTTTGGATTTACCGACTCTTAGCGAAGACCTACTCAAACAGTCCAGAGATAAGCTCAAGGAGTTGGACGAGAAGTATGTGTTATTCAAATCTCTGCCATTAATTGTCTTAATTGTGAATTTATTTGTTAATGTCTTATCAAAACGAACAGAGAGTCGGAACGACTAACACGAGACAAAGTGAAGAACACATTGGAATCGTTTATTCTGGAGACGAGAGTTAAGTTAGAAGACGAGGAATACTCGACGTCGACCACCGACGACGAGAAGAGCAACATTGAGACGCAGCTGTCGGGCGCGCGGGAGTGGCTCGAGTACGAGTCGGACGGCGCGGAGACCAAACTGTTTACCGACAAATTGGCGGAACTGAAAGCGCTGACCAAAACGCTGTTCGAGAGGGTCCGCGAGCACAGGGATCGACCGGAAGCGTTGGCCGCGTTGAACAACATGTTGAATATGAGCGAAATGTTTTACGGCGGAGTAGCGGCCACTCCGGCCGACGACCAGATCTTCACGGAGGTTGAGATCCAGACGTTGAAGAAGTTGATCGACGACACGAAGGCGTGGGTCGAACAGACGGTCGCCGAGCAGTCAAAGCTGGCCAAAAGCCATGCGCCCAAACTGACCCTCAAGTCGATCGCCGAGAAAATGGCGGCTCTCGACCGCGAAGTGAAGTATTTGCTAAATAAGGCTCGCATTACACCACCGAAGAAGAAGCCCGAGAAGAATGAGGTTTTATATTGATTTTTGTGATCTATTTTTATATCTGTGCTATTGTTGTCATTAAATGGTATTCTTCGGTGGTTTAGAGTGAAGAAACGAGTGATAAAAACAAGACAACAGACGAGAAGAAGACAACGGATGAGAAGACAGAAGAGGAACAGACGAAAGAAGAAGAGAAGAGCGAAAGTGAGACCATAAGCGAAGAGCCAGTGGTGGAGACTGTGGGCGAAGAGAGTGTGAAACTGGAGCCCAGTGTTGACGACCCGACGGCTAAAGCGGGCGCTAAACAACATTCCGATAGCAAAGAGCATAAACCGGACGATCACTCGGAGTTGTGATGAATGACTTCTGATTCTTAGGTTTATATATTTTTTTTCAAATTTAATTGTCATTTAATTGTCTGTGTTTTTAAATGTATAAATTATTTGATTAATTTAATTGTAATTTAAAACAAATTAAATCCATTTTTTAGTTCCCATTTTTCTCTCGCTTACATTTTCGCAGTCGTATACCAAACAAATTGATTGTTTATTTGCACGCATTTTAATGACATTTTGTTTCATAAAATTTAGGTATTTTTTTGTTTAACGAATTATTTATTATATGATAGAAAAACTTTATTCAACTTCTCTTCGCATAAATTGTTATTGAATAATGAAATTTTAATTATTTTTTCACTACTTTTTGATTTCATACTTATTTTTGTATTTATTTCTCAATTAATTTTTACAAAATTTTCTCTATAATTGTTTAATAACTTAAAATCTAATTCAAAAATATCTGTTAATTTATTCCTTCATTATTAGTATTAATTAATTTATATAATAATAATTACAAAGAAATTGAGAAACAATTTTTTGAATACAACAACAAATTAATAATAATAATAAAATTAAGAGTCAATAAAATAAATGTTATAAATATATAAATATACAAAAAACATAACAATTATTTGTGACTTCCGGTTGCGGTCGTGTCCTCTTTGCTCAGGGCTTTGATCCTTTGGAGAGCGCTGTGAGCCTTGAAGTGGACCACCGTTTCCAACAAATACCCCGTGTAATCGTTTTTGGCTTTTTTCAGCCAATACTTGGCCTCAGTTTTAGAGTCGAGATCTAATTTAGTTAATCCCAACTCCAGAGACGCCATCGGAAGAATGAATTTGTCTTTTTTGATGTGTTTCTCACTAATTATTTTGACGAGAGAGAGAGAGAGAGAGAGAGAGAGAGAGAGAGAGTTATTTCAGCGATGTATAGACAATATCTTTTTTCAATACTTATAGAGAATCTCTGCGAAACACTTCTCAGCATTTTTGTGATGTTTTCTCGCTTTCTCACAAATGCCTTTTAATAACAATAGTAACAAATAGTTTTCCACCGCATTCACTGACTCTCCTGTTTGGCGACAAAAAATAAGATAACATTTTGATCGATAATAGGTATTGAAAACTTTATATCGTGATAAAAACAACTTACGATCGTTTATATACTTTGGTATTAATCGATTGATTCTATCGATTATGGGATCGACGAGCGACTCGTTTTGGTCAAGAATTGCATATATATTCCAGATATACATCAATTCCTTGGATTGCAATTAATTGAGACATTAATAAAAACAATATCACTAAAACTAATGAATAATGTTTTCTACTATAATATAACAAAAAGCAAATACAACTCACAAACGCCGGCAATACTAGCGACTCGTTTTGGGTGAAATACTTGACGGCATTCACGCAAACATACTTTTCCGGTGGTATTGTTTTGCCGGCGATTCGCACCTTTAGTTTTGGGACTTCTCTGTGAATAAACAACACAATTATTATTATTCAATACAAAAAAACAATGAAATCTACGCTAAAATCAAGTTAAACACAATAATCTCATACAAATAGGAGAGGAAAGTAAGACAAACAAAATAAAAGCAGGTTTTTAAGGCAATACCTGAACAGTTCGGAAACTTCTGAATGCATTTCGGGTAAGTTTTCGTCAATCATTTTCATGTATAAAAAGGTCGCCTTTTGGTACGTGAATGTGGCCGCAGACCAATTGCACTGATCCTTCAGTATCTGAGCGTATTTTGCGGCCAAATCCCATTCAAACTTCACCCTAATTGGTAACAAAATCTTATGGTAAGACAATATCACACAATTATATCCTCAGCGGACACTTACGCGTGACACCAGAGTAGCTCCCAATAGCATATGTTATGCATTTGTTTCACTTCTTCCTGGGATTCAATGCATTTATTGAAGTAAACGATTGCGGAGTCGATGTCTCCTCTCAACTGCAATATCCGCGCTCTGAACCATAAAAACCAGGAGCTCTTCAGTGGACCGCAAAATTAAATTTGTTTTTATATCAACAAAAAACATTTTTACAATGTTTTACATTAATTAAATGCCATTTAAAAACACATGCATTAAATGATAAAAAAACATGATTAACTCGTCAATACCTGCGCGTAATTATCGAGCCCTTTGTCGATAAACTCTTCGACGACATCGAGATTGGATTTTCTCACACCAAACATCTGATTAATATAGCACTCGTAGCCGGCGATCACTAACTGCCCAGGGTAGAAACGCAGACCCGACTCGTCCTGAGAGCATTTGGACAATAGGTCTAAACCGGTGTTTCTGTCGCCGGAAAAGCCAATCATCTCCAGAAGTTTGAGCACACGTTTGGGTAAATGCGAGAAAACCAGATTCAGGGCTCCGTTGCCCAGCAGTACGCCCGACACAAAGTGCACTTTCGACCGCTCACTACACCATTGCGTTCGGGTCTCAGATATCTCTAAACACTCTCTAAATTGTGTGCAAAAAAAGTTAATTGTTTTAATCAATTGATTGACTGATAATCGGGTGATAATCGGTGACTAACTTATAGGAGTTATGACACGAGCGGATACGGAACGCCCCCTTAACCAGAGACATGATATTCTGGTCGCTGAAGAATGTGAGCAACGCTATGATCAATAGATTCTCGGCGTGGATCAGCTCCGCGTGTATTTCCACTTGAGTTCCGCAAAAGTGGTTATCATAAGCAAAACAAACAAATATTTGTCAGATAACTTTCCAAAACACTTTTAATTCAATTACAATACAAACAACTAAAACAATTCAATACAAATTCAATGAATACCTTCCGTATACTCGTTGTAATTGGGTTTCCATAAGTATTTGGAGACACTATTAGTTATGGACACACTTTTGCGGTACTTATCGCACAGAGTGCTCGTCTCATTGCTGGCCTCCATCGCCTGTGCTATCTCTGGCTATTATATATTGGATTAACAATTCTTATATAATTTTATTGTGTAATTAATATAACAATAAAAATAACGACAAATAATATAAAGAAAAAATTATAGGAAATGTTTGAAAAATATTTTATAAAAAACTCAATAATTATCGATAAACTAATAAAGTTATGATTAAATTGTTTTAAAACAACTAGTTATACGGGAAAAAGTGCTAATAAAATATTCTCAAACAAATTTAAGGACACAAATATCTGTTGAAAAACTCGGTTAAAGAGTATATAAACTTTAACTTAAGGGAAAGACACCCTCTCTTCCTAACACAAGTGCTTCTCTTCTCCCTCTCCTTCGCTCTATGTTTGCACTTATTATGCAATAAATATTTGTATATTTAAGTGATGTGTATACAGTAGAGTACTCAAACATCTCTCTCTCTCTCTCTCTCTCTCTCTCTCTCCATCTCTTTCTCTCTTTGAATCACTTATTGAGTAACACAAGTGGTATTGAATGGCAATCTTGAGATCGATTTTAGCCGAAAGAAATCAATGGCAAAAACACACATAACATGGTATAACACGGTATACATAATGGGAACTACCGTTTCAAGTGTGAGCACAGCCTTCATAAACATGAGCAGAGATTTTCCGTGCGAGTGATAGAGACTTGTTTTGGACCACTTCTCGCATATATCGATCGCTTTGTCGAACTCATTCTGAATGCATAACTCGATCACACGTTTGCACTCTTCCATACTCTCCAAGAAGTCGAGCCCTTCCTCTCCCATCACTCCCACCACTGATGACATCTTTCGCGACATTCTTCTGGACATACGTCGACCACCGCTGCTGTCATAACATTAGTAATGATAATTGCAATCAATTCGTGGTGTTTTACATTAATTTGCAACAATTTACATTAATAACCAACAATAAATACCATTGATACCTAGTGTGTATTTTATTTGATCATTTACTAGGTCACTTTAGTACAATATAAGCTATTCTTTACTAAAAACAATTAAATATAACAAGATTTAAAATATTTAAGCACGTTTTCCAATCGTTCAAACAATATTTACAATAATCATTTATTGTAAACATTAATTTGTACAGTTTTATTTCACTTTCACTAAAACATACCACGTTGAATTGTACTAAACTACGTTGATTTAGAGCATAATACAAATTGTAAAAGATTATCGTGCATTTTATATAGATAATACGAGCAACATGAGTTATAGATATCAATGAATGTCATAGCAATCGAAACCTTAATTTAACTATTGTAATTTAATTCAATTAAAACTATTAATTACTTTATAAAAATTTTTACAGATAGCTCATGGATAGTATGCAATAAATAGATAAAAAATTAATTAAATGACAATATTTACCCTTTTTATATATGAGTGCAAATTAATAATTAAATATTTAAGCCAATTTGAAGCAAATTGATAATTTTCATTAGTTTCATATAATTTGTGTAATAATTCATTAAAACCAAATATCTGAGGCATTAATAACACGATCAATTTTTATATATATTGCAGTATATACAACCGTTATCACAATTTAAACAATTGATAAAAATAGTAAATTAATTAAAGTAATTATAAATACGATTTCTATTTAATTCAGAAATTAAACAAACAATTTCACAGCAATAGGCAAACAATAAAAGTCAATAATTATTTTAAATATAGCACTGATTTTTGCAATATTTTTATAATAATAGTATTTAAACGGATTAACGATAAGAAATGGCGATAATTACAAGAGAAAAGTAAAAGATTATTAGAATATTTATATAACTTACTGATCATTTTGCTGAGTATTTGCTGCCGTCATGTTATTTTCCATCACATTATTATTTGTTTTGAATTTCATTGTTTTGTCGTAATTCTGTTTAATAATTATTAAATAATTAAAAAATAAATTTTTAAAACTTTTAAAAGTTTTAAACAAATTTTAATTAAGAAGAAATCAAATAAAACTGCACTCAAATGAGATTTAATTAAATATATTAATAACGTATCATTTGTAAATGAACACATTGTAACACACATTAAAATCATACGACAGATAATATGCAATAAAAACAGTGAAATTAATATATAATTTATCTATAAATATGATTTAATGGATTTTATTTGGCAATGAAATTAAATGCAAAATCATTTCAAAACAAGCATTTCATTCAAACAAACTCTAAATAAAGATTTAATAATTAAATTTCTGCCAATATTTCTAAACACATATCA